AGATCACTTTTCTGACAAGGACTGGAATTTTTCAACTGCTGCAACATCTTCATCCCAACCAGAGATACCAACCAAAAAGAGCATATTTTCTTTTCTGACTGGATCTGAAAAGTCTGAGAACAGAGCCTTTACTACTCTACCAAGAGCCAAATCTCAAGGAGAAGGGCTATTCACACTTCCTTCCTTTTTTTCCACTACGAGCTCAAGCATCAAGAAGGATCCCTCTCATAAAAGCTCTACTTTTAGTTTCTTCAACTTACCCTTTTTGGATCAAAAGCAGGAGACTCCTGAGGAAAAACAAAGCCTTTCAGCTGTTGCTCCAGTGACTTCTCAGCCCTGTAAGAAGCCAAGTGTTTTTATAGACTCTGGTGGCACAATGACGAGAGAAGGTGCCAGTGGTCATAAAGATAGCATAACCCAGGAAGTAGCTGATGAAAAGCGAATGGCACCTTGTATTGCCATTAGTAACACTATTCAGGTTCCCTCCCTTGCAGATGAGCTCAGTGTAGAAAAGGACTATCAGGGGAAACTGAGTTCCAGTAATGGATCAGGGACATCTTTAACAGATTTCCAGTTGCATCAGTTGCAAAAAGATACTGTTCCTCCTTCACCAGAATGTCAGGCACAGTCTGAAACATTCCTCATTGGCCCAGAGACCCTTGGGATAACTCCCTGTGAAGAAGAGCCTTTCAACCAGAAAGCCTTCCCCAGTGACTCACTGACCGACTCTTTTTCACACGATAACCATTTATATGAAAAGTTAAATGATTTAGACACTTGTACTAACTCTCACCAAAATGAAAGCTTTACTAGTGACCCATTGAACTTGCCATTAGAAAAGGCCCCTGATGAGGTCTTACCACAGATCCTGGAGCTAGCCTCTTCTCCTTCAGAGCCAGAATGTGCAGGGCATCTCCAGAACCGAGATACAGATAAAGAGGAAGACAAATCAGTGTTAGACTCTTCAGTAGAAATGCTTTCAGGGTTTATGACCAAAGTGAAATCTTTCTCTGGGGGCTTAATTGAACCTCCCAAAACACTCTCTGGAATTTTCTCCTCTCCTAAATCTCCAAAGAAAAACTCCTTTTTCTCTCTTTCTTCTGGTGTGTCATCTCAGCCACTCAAAGATGAGTTATTTGGAATTTTCAGAAGTCCCAAACCAGAGACATACAAACAAGAATCATCTATCCCAGCTACTTCACAGCTTCAAAATGATTGTTCCAGAGATGCTGTAGGATTCGGACCTTCAGAAGGTTTGTGGAGAGAAGCTGCCTCTGCAGCACCCAATTTAGAATCTACTGTCAGTGACTGTAGAATGACCGTTGTTAGTGCAAAGTCAGAATCGGATACCTTGACAGGTGATCCTAAATTAACCAAAATGGAAAACAGTAACACTCCTGAAAATATTCCAGGACCCCAAAGTTCTGAAATAATTGCTACATCTTCTGTCTCGGGGGATGATACTGGGCAAGGAGTATTGTCTCTGAGTGATGAAGGAGACATGGGGATATTGCAGGGTACAGACACAGAGGCATCATTGGAAGCAGAGCATATTTTATCACCAACACAGTTGGATCCAGATCCTACCTGTATTGCTGAAGAGCTTCCTCCTCCAATTCAGCCACCTCTTCCTCTTGAGGCAGAACCAGCTATTCAAACTGCCTCCACAAACCAAGATTTCTTGGAGCTGCATGTAGCCAATTCACTAGAAACCAATAATGCACTGTTCAGTGAGGCAAGTGTGAGCCAGAGCACCACCCTGGAAACCCAAGGGCACTTTCCTCATCCTCCACTGGAGAAACCTGGGCTTTGTGCTAAAGAAAGTTATGAGATGCTTCATGCCCCGAAAGATCCACCTGCAGTCCCCCAGGAAACAGAGCAGCCAAGACCTCGTTTTGAGATCCCAAACATAAGCAATTGGCCAAAGCTCCGCTTCCCATCTTCTGCTACTGACCATGGGAAATCACTGAGCTCTTTCTTTTCCCCACCTTCCCCCTCGGGCAATAGAGCAGCAGAGACTGGTTTAATATCCAGTTTTAAGAAGTTGTCAACTCTATTTGAGGGAGGTAGTGAGGGGAAAGAGAGTGTGCTGACAAGTGATCCAAAACTAGGGTTTGGAAAAAAGCTGGATCGTTTATTTCCACTGGCAAAAGAAAACAAAGAAGTCCCTGAACAAATGCCTACAGAATCTTACCCTCCAGTTTTAGGTGTTAGCAGTGATCAAGACCTTAACTCCAATAAGGCTAACAAAGCTTTGGAGTCCTCTCAAATACCTGAGGCCAATGCTGAGCCTGCTAAGGTCTATACTCAGCCTTCTGGGACCTCTGAGCAGCTGGAGGCCAAGCCAAGTGTCTGTGCTCCAGAGGTTTCAGGGCCTGGAGAAGTGGAAAAGCAGGAGGAAATCCCAGCATCTAAGGAACACTGGGATACCAAAGGCAACCCCTCTGGCCTCACCTGTCCTTCAGGGAAACATGAAGAAGAGCACTACACTGTCTCTGAGCTAATTCACCAGCCAGAAAAACAAGAAGAGGAGGCAGTGCCTGCTAGCATTGAGTCTGTTTTGAATGTACAGCAGCCAGTCACTCTGAATGGCATCAAGGAACCAATGACCAACAAAAGGCCTGTTCTCAACTGAAGCATCATAAATGGCTTTAAGGAATTGACCATTTATGATGATACAAGTGACTTAGTGGTAGATGAGTCATAGTTTGCTTTTTATCCTTCCTGTGTCTTTCCTAGCACCTGAGCTTCATGTCAATTAGGGATTAAGTGACAAGAACTAATGTGTGGGTATTTTCATCCTCTCCCTTCTCTCTAGTGCCAAATGTAATTCATTTATTGGAACAAGGAGCTTCCTGCCTAAAGGAAAGGCTGAGCCCTGAGATTTACTCGCTCTAGTTTGCTCTGCCAAGTATAATGGGAAATGGAGAGGGGAGAAAAGGAACAGACAGCAAGTAGTTGGTGGTATATATTAACTACAACTACATGATGGGCTAGGAGGCTTCCTTGGGCCTTAGGCACTTATATCCTGTAGTAAATGGGGATGACCTACTTTGCTTTGCCTTTTCAAGTCTTCTAAGGTACTTTTTCCAGTGGCAATGAAGGAATTAAGTAAAATACAAAGTGCAAAGGATGGCTTAAGATGATCCGTATCCTATTCTACATGGATTTGCATAGCTTCTTCCAGGGTATCAGTCTCTGCCTTTTATTATCCTTAGGACTGGTATCTAACAAGAGCTTTGAGTAAAGTCTCACAGGAACTCAGACCTATCCTTTGTTGTTGTTCTTCAGTCTGGAGCATTGTACAGGGCCTGTCTACAGAGGTTACTGTTCTCTCCCCTAAGAAGAAACACCATACAATGCAGTTAAGAATGTTACCTTGGCCTCAGGCCCTAATTTGTCCAAAGGGATTAGGGGTTTTAGAGATTGTGTGTTTCTGTGTGTGTGTATTAAATATGTTTGTATGAGTATATTTGTATGTATGTGTGTTGAAAACTACTCAGAACAGTGACCTATTACTTATTCTGCTACGAGAGGGAAACCAGAAATCAGCCTGAAAATACGAAGTAATTGAGAGGAAACTTAGAGAAAATTTCATTGGAAAATAGCAATGATTTATCTTCATTTGGCTGAGAGTAAACATAAGCCCTTTAGCTAAAGGCTTGACTCTGTGGTAAGAAAATTCCCTGTCCTTTTACATGGAAGCTTTTCAACAGGATACTGGTAACAAAATGAGGATTCCTGACTTGGGATTGAAATATCCAGATGGGCTGGGATATATCTTGTAGATCATCACTGAGTCCCTCTGCTGTCAAAAGGACCAATCCTTTAGATCAGCAGTCTCCCGCCTTTTTGGCACCAGGGACTGTTTTCATGTAAGACAATTTTTCCATGGACCTGGGAGGTTGAGGGATGGTTTCAGGATGATTCAAACAAATTACATTTATGGTGCACTTTATTTCTATTATTATGCTGTAATATATAATGAAATAATTATACAACTCACCATAGGTTGAGGACCCATGCTTTAGATGATAGGTATATAAAGGCTCAACGGGAACTTCTGGATATGACTTTTCTTTCCACCACTCCATCCTTCTTGCTGTTATCACTGTCACTTTCCCTGCTATAACTGCTATCTCATAACAGGGGAACAGATTTTCTTTCTGGGCATAGAAATTTTGGTAACAGAGAGAGGGTTGGCTGACCTCTCTTCAGGTACAGAGACGCATGAATGTGGCTCTGACATAGATCCTGGAGTTGAGCTTTGTCCGCTTTATCCAAAACGGAGCCTTTCCCTGAGAGGAACTCAGTTACAGATGGGCAAGTTCATGTTTGGAACACTCCTGTGCCGCCAGAGATATACTTGTAGCATTCATGTTTATGAGACCATTCTCCTGTGAGATTTCTTGGTCCTGGCCTCCATCTCCCAATGGCTTCTATGACCTCATCCCACAGATGAGGAGGCTGAGATGATAATCGAAGGAACATGTCCATTCTCCTCTGCTCATCTTAAGGTACAGGTTTATACATTTATAATTGTCGAGGAAGAAATGGGGACCTCAATTTAATAAAAATAGAAAAAAAGAAGAGTTCATTCACTCTATTTTATTATGTGGAAATTAGAAAATTTTAATCATAGCCACTGGACAAGTTTCTTTAGAAGACTAAAGAATTTTAGGAATAAGTAACAGGCTGTTTTAATAATTTTTAATCCTACTCACAAATAGCACATTAAGATAAAACATCCTTCAAAGTCAAGTGCAGGGCTGAGGTTAAGTGCTGTTGGAGAACCCAGCATGTTGTGTTTTTTTCCTGTTGTGGTCTGCTGAATAGAGACTAATTCCTCTAGATTGTCAAGTTTGGTCCTGTCTTCCCAGGAACCTCCTATTTGTGATTCTTGCCACTGATATAATCATTATTTCCTAGATTTATCCATGCTTTTGCCCTGGTCCCAGTTTGCATGTATTTACTCATCTGTCTTTCTCTCATTCTCACAGCCCCACCAGCAGTAGTAGGTATGGCTCTTCTTGCAATGTGAGTCAAGGAAGCTCTCAGCTGAGTGAACTAGACCAGTACCATGAACAAGATGATGACCGTCGGGAGAGGGACTCAATTCATTCCTGCCGCAGCTCTGGCAGCCTCTGCAGAGATGGCCAAGCAGGTTTTGGAGAAGAAGAGAAAACCTGGGAAGTGACAAGTGAAGCCGAAAAGGGGATATCATGTGAGAACAAGGGAATAACATGTGAGCCCAAGGAGATGAAAGAAGATGCCACAACCCATCCTCCCCCAGATCTGGTGCTACACAAAGACCACGTACTAGGCTCCCAGGAGAGGTAGGTGATAGCTGCCTTGAGGAGCTCACATGGCTTGCCCAGTAGCTGCCCTGTAGCATTGCTGAATAAAAGTGCTTTTCATTTGTTTCCCTGCAGCTGGGTATGATGGTGGTCAAGACACTCAGGCTCAATTCTTCATTGCTTCCTTTGATTTTTGGTGTAATATTCTGGAGATCTCTGGAGAACACTTGGGTTCTTTGTAGTTGGTGAGCTGCAGTATACCAGAACTTCTTGAGTCTGTAGTGCATGGCTCTCTAGTTGACGTTGTATATGGCAGCTTCTGAGTCTGGAACTGACCTGAGCCAAGTTATTTCATTTTATAGAGCTGCTTTTGGTGCTTTGGCTGACTTCCTAGCCTATTAATGTTTTAACCTTTTTGGTGAACATTTTATTATACCCTGGCTAAGAAAACCAGGACAGAGATAAGAAAGAATTGATCTTGAAGCCAGATTTAACCACCCCTATACCTCCCCAGGGCCTAGCAGTGTGTCTGGCAATTGGTATCCATAAGAAGAAAATGTAAAATATGTCCGTTTGACTTTCTTATAACAAAACTTAGTACAGGGCCGGGCGCGGTGGCTCACGCCTGTAATCCTAGCACTCTGGGAGGCCAAGGCGGGCGGATTGTTTGAGCTCAGGAGTTCGAGACCAGCCTGAGCAAGAGCGAGACCCCGTCTCTACTAAAAATAGAAAGAAATTAATGGGACAACTAAAAATATATAGAAAAAATTAGCCGGGCATGGTGGCACATGCCTGTAGTCCCAGCTACTCGGGAGGCTGAGGCAGAAGGATCGCTTGAGCCCAGGAGTGTGAGGTTGCTGTGAGCTAGGATGACGCCATGGCACTCTAGCCCGTGCAACACAGTTAGATTCTGTCTCAAAAAAACAAAAACAAAACAAAACTTAATACAGAGTCTGAGTGTTATTGAGCTAAATTGGTTAGGGTAATTGACAGGTTGGAGCAGAGAAGGGTTTCTCAGTCTTGGCACTATTAACATTTTGGGCCAGATAATTGTGGGGAGCTGTTGTATGTATAATAGGATGTTTAGTAGCATCACTAGCCTCTACACACTAGATACTAGTAGCAACCCCCAGTGTGACAACCAAAACTCTCTCCTGATAGATTTCCTCTGGCAGGAGTGGGAAATTGCCTCCAGTTGAAAACCACTGCAGTAGAGTGATAAGGGCTGGGTGTGACTTAGATTCTGATTCTAAGGTCTAATAATGACACCTCTCATTAAAAGACCAGAACAGTGAATGCTGATTACATGGTAAAAATTAGGGAATGGTTGGTGCTTCTACTCCACCATTGGATCAATGGATAAGTCATGTACCTTTTTGAAGTTATAAACTTACTTTCTTTTCTCCTTCTCTTCTTGGTTTCTAGTTACCTCTGGTGGCTCATCTAAATTAATAGGCAAGACATCCAGGAGCCTGAGCTGTGGACCAGCCTTCTCACTGGGTTGATGACCCACTGAAAGACTGGCTGTGGCTGTTTGTGGCCTTCACACTTGGCAGTCCTCTTGTCAGGGCAGAGCTCTTGGTACAGAAGCAGAAGTGTCCAGCATGAGTACCTGTCCTTCTCTACCAGTTGTGTTTTCTCAGGTCCTAGCTGTGCTAGTAAAGCCCAGTTCTGCCTTGGCCAGAGATGCCCACAAATGTTTTAGAACAATTGACCCAGATGGCATCAGAGCCTACCATATATTTTACATGTCTAAATGGTGGACAATTATCTGCTGCATTGGCTATAGGCCCTAAAGTGGGAAAGGAGAAACATTATTACCAATAGTAACCACTATTCCAGTTAAGAACCTGGATGATGACTTGTCCTAATACAGGGTAGTGTTTCTATCTCAAAGGTATTTTGCTATATTTATTGTTCATTTCACTAAAGGTGTTTCCAAGGCAGCTCAGGGAACAAGATCATGGCAGGAAAAAGGCTGTGATTTTTTCCTGGCACTTTTCACACAGTCTAGAAATTGGTAAGCCTTTGAAAATACTTAATGATGCAGGAAAGGTTTGCAAGAACAACATTCTGCCCTAAGGTGCTATGCAGAACCCCCAAGGGAGCTGGTGGTCTTGGGAGATAGAGTGAGAGGAGTTAAAAGGCTTATTCCACATCTCTCTGCATAGTTTCTACACTAGATGTTGTTTCAGGACCCCCGCCATTCCTTCTGGTGTCCTGATCCCAGACTGTCCTGGTGAGCTGCCTCATTGGGTAAACAAAAGAACGGAGAAGGAAGAGAGGGAACAGATGAACAGCTAAAAGGAGTTATCGTTTTAGAAAGAAATTGTTTTCACATTGGGTATTCAGTACTATGCTGTTTTAGTGGCCTGAGTCACTAAACAAGTGTAGGCATGAGTATAAATCATTTTATTTTATATATTTGGCAGTCTTGCCTTGAGCACTGTCACCTTGTGGCCTTGGCTATTTTTAAGAAACCTTCTCTTTTTTTGTTACAAGTTTTCCTGAGGAGAATGCCTCTTCGCCATTTACCCAAGCCAGAGCGCACTGGATCCGAGCAGTTACCAAGGTTCGACTCCAGTTGCAGGAGGTAGGAAATCTGTTCTAGTACTGGTTGGGACAGTTTTTCCTTTGAAATTGTGAGACATATGGTGCTGGAGAAGCAGTCAGTGATTAGTCATCTTCTTACAGTATGATGCTGGGAATGCATGACAATTAAGCCAGAGCTTTAAGAGATGGGAGGTGGCCTTGGTTTTCTTTTATGCTGATTAATGGAAATCAAATGGTGGGTTGAAAGCCTGAAGGTAAAGATAGATGCTTATTTTCAAGTAGTACTGTCTCTGAAGCCATTTTAGTTTAAGCTTAGTGCAAGAGACTATTTCAAGGCATCTTAGATTGGTTGTTGTCTCCCTACCTAGCCAGTTCAAGTATTACTGGCTGATCCCTGTGGGGTCAGAAAGAGTTTACAAAAATTTCTTCGGGGTTCCCTAATTTAAGGCCCAAAGCATGAACACATTAAAATCTGAAACAATGTTAAAAAAAGAAAAAACAAAGAAGTATTTTTCATTTTCAATGTTAGAAGTTTGAAATGTCTTTATCTGTGTGTTAGTGTAGATAGGCAGTCTTCAGGCAGAAGGTACGTTTTTGAATGAAGACAGTGGCCCTAGTTTTATAATACCTGGCAGATATTAAAGGTACAAGCATGCTCACATGTGTGAACACATTTTAAAACATAATTTATTTTGAAGTAATTTCAAACTTAAGGAAAAGTTGCAAAAACGGTAGTATAAAGAACTACCATACCCCTTACCCAGATGCTGCAATTGTTGATATTTCACATGTGCTCTGTCACCCTCTCTCCATTATAATCAGTCTTTCTGATCCATTTGAGAGAAAGTTGAAGACATGGTGTTCCTGTCACTCCTAAATACTCCTGTTTGTATTTCCCTAAAAACACAAGGCTACTCTCCTATAAGTTACAATAGAACCACCCAAATATGGAAAACAACACTACCTTTAAGACCTCATGTGTATTTTGCCTGTTGTCCCTACAGTGTCTCTTTTTCATTTGTAATCTTGGCTCCAATTCAGGATGACATGTTACATTAGTAGTCATATCTCTTTAGCCTTCTTCAGTCTGGAACAATTCCTCAGTCTTTCCCATCCTTGACAGTTTTAAATGGTATAGGCCTTTCATGTTGTAGTATGTTCTTTAATTCGGGTCCATTCAGTGTTTCCTTGTGTCCATACTCAAGCCATGCTTTCTTGGCAGGAATTACACAGAAACGATGCTGGGCTTTTTTCAGTGCATCACATCAGAAAGTACATGATGTCAGCCTGTCCTACCATTTACAATGTTAGCTTAATCACTTGGTTAAGTCTATATTGGCCAGATTTCTCCACTGTCAAGGCACCATTTTCACCTTTGTAATTGTTAAATGCTCTATGGTGTGATACTGAGACTATGTTGATATCTTGTTCCTCATCAAATATCTATCTACCAGTTAACTGTCCATTGATGACTCCCCTCTGAATCTACCACAACTGATAACTTTCTGTTTCCGTTATCCTTTCTACATTAATTAGTTGGCATTCTATTATAAGATAGAGATTTACCTTTTCCCCTATTGATTTATTTATGTCAGTATGGACTCTTCCTAATTTATTACATGAGTGGTAATCCATTACTGTCATTTATTTTGATGCTTAAATTGTTCTAGCTTCATACAAGCACTCTTAGTTTGACCCTTTGGGGAGAAGATAATGGTGTTTTTGGATTTTGTTTGTTTGTTTGTTTTTTGAGAAAGGATCTCACTGTTGCTCAGGCAGGAGTGCAGTGGCATGATCATAGCTGACTGCAACCTCAAACTCCTGGGCTCAAGTGATCCTCCTGCCTCAGTCTCCTGAGTAGCTGGAACTACAGGTGTGTACCATGATGCCAGCTAGTTTTTCTATTTTTTTGTAGAGACAGGGTCTCACTCTTGCTCAGGCTGGTCTTGAACTCCTAGCCTTCCAAAGTACTAGGATTACAAGCATGAGCCAATAATGTTTTAATAATTATTAAAAAGGTACCTGCTTTGGAGAAAGTATTTTGAACACAAATGTTTGAAAAATCTTTCCATTTGTATACATGTGTGTTCTTTTATCAGAAACAGTGTTACTGATAAAAACTCATAACTGAATGCTAAAATCTAGAAAAGAGACTATTAGCATATTAAAAATCTTTCTAATGAAGAATTTCATTGAGTTTTGAACTTATTTGTCAAAAATAGAAAAATATTTCTGCAAAATATACTATTTTGCAAGAACAACTGATATCAGAGAAGATGAAAAATTACTAGCCAAAATTCAACAGAATCTATGAATAATTGACATGTAGGAACCAATTGCAGTTCTTTCATTTGATTGGTGTATCAGGATCTTTTTCAGATATGATAGCTGTGAAAACCATGTATTGAAATAATTGTGGAACCAGACCTTCTAGTCATTCTATAAAAAAATATTAAAATAAGATTTAGACAATAATTAGACATATTATATCAGATTGCTTTCACGAAAAAAATTTACTACTGCTAATATTTTTAGTTACAGCAAAAATTTTTTATTAATAAACTTTCTAAAATTTTTCAATACCTTTCACATTTTAATTTTGTAATATAATTACTATATTAATATCATTGTAAGCATGTATAATTTTTTAAATGCATAAATATGTATCTTGAGAGGTGTATGCTAAAAACAAATTTCTGTTGATCAGGCTGCTTACAGATGTTGGGAGTCTGTTGATCTACACTGATACGAGGTAAACGTTTGAAGTGAACATTTATGAAGTCAGTGTCATAATACTTATTAAGTTTTCATTTCTACTTTTTCAGAAGTAAGCGTCTTGTAATTTTTACTATAAAGGAAAGTATAAAATAACTAACCTTCTCCATGTAAAAAGAGAGCTCTGAATGAGAAAAATAAGAATGTATTGGAGTAGACATATTATAAGTTTTTCTTTTTAAGCAGTAATTCAGAGTCTCTTAAAAACAATAGCTGAAAACAGTTGCCAAAGCTTGGAATCAGAGAGAGAAAGGCATAGTTTACCTAGGAGTAACTAAGAACCATTGCTACTTAAATAAGAGAACAATACTAAAGATATTCTTAACACAGATACAGTAATTGGTAGCTGATTAGAAGTGGCCAAGAGGAGAAAGATAAGCCAGAGTTTAAAGAGGGATCTGATAACAGTTTAAGACTGATGCAGTAGTACACCATTTATACTTAAGATGAGATTTGCTGACACATTAGGTTATAAGAGAAAAAGAAGTTAAGCGCAGCATCAAGGATTCCCCCAACCTCCAGTAATTGGAAGTTCAGCCTAGTCACCCCTTCACCCTCTGCCCAAGATAATCTTTCTCGTTAGTTTCTTATTTATAATTCTAGAAATTTTTAATGCAAGTACTAACAAATATGAATATATATTCTAATTCTCCCTTATCCCTTTTTATACATACTGAGAATATTTTGAGTTTTTTACTTGGAGATCCTTCTATATCAACTGTAAGAGAATTTTTCATTTTTTATAGCTACATGGTATTATTCCATTGAACAAATTGTACTGCAGGTATTTAGCTAGTCTTCTGATGTTCATTTGGTTATTTATACTTGCTCTAACCATGTAGCAAATGAGTGACCTTATACATATGTCATTTTGCATGTGTGCAAGTTTATCAAGGGGATATGCATTTATAATTTTGATAAATATTGCCAAATTGCCCTCCTTTTGTCAGTGGCTTGAAATAACAAAGATTTGTTTCTTGCCTGTGTTGTATGTCCTGCCACATGTCAAGGAATTCTGTGTTAAGTTGTTTTCTCTCCGCATTCTAGGCTAATGGAGCAACCATTGCCTGTCACAATAGTAAAGGGAAAGAAAAGATAACAAGTGAAAGAGAACATAGCAAATTGCACTCTGGCTTTTAAAACTTCTTCCCAGAAGTTACATACATCACTTTTGCTCATGTTTCCCTGGCTAAAGCAAATCATACAACCATACCCAACTGAAATAGGAGCAGTATATATATATTTCAAAAGATCCAGAGAGGGATATTTGTTAATGGCTTTAATAACTACGTCAAAAAGTATATACCTCCTACTCCATAGGGAGTGTACCAATTTATACTCCTGGCATGAGAGTGCTTTTTTCTTCCCTAATCCACCAGTAGAGTGACATGTCAAACTTTTGGATTTTTGCTAGTCTGCTAGGCAATAGTGTCTTGATAGTTTAATTTTGCATTTCTTAGTAAAGTTGAGCATATTTTCATATACTGTATGTAAAGGTTATTAGTAATTATTTTTCTGAGAACTGTCTATTCATATTCTTTACCCATTTTCTATTGAGCTGTTGGTGTTTTCTTACTAATTCACAAGGGCTTTTTATGTTTTACGGAAATTAACTCTTTGCCTGTGATATAAGTTGCCAATATTTTTTCTCATTATATCATTGTGAGAAAAATGTTGAAGCTTAATCAGCCACATTTTCCTAATCCAGAAAATAGGGAGAATAGTACCCTTCTCTTAGGCTTGTAAATTATCTACAAAATTAAATGAAAGCTATGATTTAAAAAAAAGAAATCAGAAAAAAAAATACACTTCTGTGGCTCTACATTACCTTCATGATACAATAAAACCTTTATGATTTAGCTCATTGTTACTAAAATTGTGGTCCAGGGACCAGCTGAGTCCAGGAACTGTTTGTTTCTAGTCTTCAATAAAATGTTAGCATTTAGAGGCAGTTTGAATTGCCATGACATCAAGCACAGGGTTGATGGCTTCATCTCATTAAACAGGGTATAGACCACAAATAACAGTCTGTGACATATTGGGAATAAAAAATCAGGTTCTTAACAAAAAATAGTTTGAAAAGCACTGATATAGATGCTACGTGCCTTTCCAGCTTTAACTCTTTGCTATCTTGTTTAGGAGACATTCTAGCATACAGAATTATTTATTTTTTAGAAATCCTCAGAGACTTTGTATTTGCTGTTTCCCCTGCCTGGAATACTCTTTCTCTTAATTCACTTCGACTACTTTTCATTTATATCTTTT